ATATGCCAATTACCATGTTTCTCTTTTATTAGTGTAGATAGGGGGGTCTGCAGTACCCTGGTAGAGTCCTATCCGTCCCGAGTGTGCGGTTCTCAATGGGGGCGGGGGGGGGGCGCTTACCTAGGGGAATCCTGTCCCAAAGAACAGTAAAATATATGCCAGGTCCCTTGAAACAGCAAGGATGGACCGGCTCCCAGCACTTTTGGTACGGATTCAAAACCCCTCTGCCTTTCTCCTTTCCTTCTTGCAGTGGTTCTCAACCTGTGGGTCGCGACCCTTTCACAGGGGTCGCCTAAGACCATCGGAAAACACATATATAATTACATGTTGTTTTTGTGATTAATCACTATGCTGGTTACCTGTTCAATATGGGCTGAATGTGTCCCTCCCCCAACTCATATGTTGAAGACCCAGCTTCCTAGGTACCTCTGAATGTGACTGTGCTTGAAGATAGGCTCTTTTATAAAAAAACATATTTTATTGATTTTCCACAGAGAGAAAGAGAGAGGGATAGGTAGAAACATCGATGAGAGAGAAACACCAATCAGCTGCTTCCTGCGCACCTCCTACTGGGGATGTGCCCACAACCAAGGTATATATATGCCCTTGACCGGAATCAAACCTGGACCTTTCAGTCCACAGGCTGACACTCTATTCACTGAGCCAAACCGGCTAGGGCAAGGGTGGGCAAACTTTTTGACTCGAGGGCCACAATGGGTTCTTAAACTGGACCAGAGGGCCGGAACAAAAGCATGGATGGAGTGTTTGTGTGAACTAATATAAATTCAAAGTAAACATCATTACATAAAAGGGTACGGTCTTTTTTTTCAATAGTTTTATTCATTTCAAACGGGCCAGATCCGGCCCGCAGGCCATAGTTTGCCCACGGGCTAGGGCGATAGGCTCTTTTTAAAAAAGTTTTATTGAAGTGTAATTGATATACAAAAATCCACACATATTTAATATATACAATTTGATGGGTTTGCACACATGAAACTATCACCACAATTAAGGGAATAAGCATATTGATCACCTCCAAAAGCTTCCTCCTGCCCCGTCCTTTTGTGTGTGTACGCATGGGTGTCTGTGGTGAGAACATGTAACTTGAGATCTACCTTCTTAACAAAGCTGTCAGTGCACATCAGAGTATTTTTAATTATAGGCACTATACTATATAGCACATTTTTATAAGCTATTTATCTTTATAACTAAAAGTTTATATCCATTGAACGACCTGAAATTATTACCCTCCCCCAGCCCCTATAATGACCACTCTACTCTATGAGTCCATTTTAGATACCTGATATAAGTGGAATCAAAATGAGATATCACCTCACACCTGTTGGGATAGCTATTATTAAAAAAAAAAAAAAGACAACAAACAGCTGTTGTTAAGGATGTGGAGAAATTGAAACCCTTTTATGTTGTTGATGGGAATGCAAACAGTGCAACTGTTATGGAAAACATAATGGAGGTTCCTCAAACAAATTAAAAATAGAACTTCCCTAGGATCCAGCAGTCCCACTTCTGGGTCTATATCCAAGAGAATTGGTATCAGATCTCCTAGAGATATCTGCACACCCATGTTCATTACAGCACTATTCATAACAGCAAAAATACTGAAAGAACCTAACTGAACGGATAAAGCAAAAGTGGTATTTATACACCTGCACTGGAGCTATTCAGCCTTAAAAAGAAGGAAATCCTACAATGTGCAACAGCCAAGTCCAGGTTCATCTGGGTGAACCTGGAAGACATCGTGCTAAGTGAAATAAGCCAGACACTAGAGAAGATAGAGTCTTTCAAGGGGTAATTAAGTTAAAATGAGGTCATTAAAGTGGGCCCTAGAGCAGATTAGGACACTGGCACACATAAAGGAAGAACCTTGGGAAGGAAGAGGGAGAAGGTGGAAAACTACAAGCCAAAGAGAGAGGCCAACACCTTGCTCTTAGACCCCTTACCGCCAGAACTGTGAGAAATACCTGTTGTGTAAGCCGTCCAGTCTGTGGTACTATGTTATGGCAGCCCTAGCCAGCTAACACACTACTCATTTTCACGCAGAACAGTTTTTTCTCTGCTTCACTGCTCTGAACTCATGAAAGCCGCCCTTGGTAAATCCTTACCAGCTAAGGCGCTCCTCGAACAATAGGCCATTCTCTCAGGATATCTGCCCTCCCAGCACAGAGCACCCACAGAAGCTGAGAAATCAGTCTCTTTGAATGAGAGCAAACTCTTCATCACACCAATCTCCTTAACTGGGAAGGGAGCAGCATAAGTCTATTCTTCCTCAGGAGAACGATGCCACCTCTTGCGAAGCTGGAAGCAAGTACAACCAGACTTTCCTTTGATGGAAACACTCTCTTCCCGCTTCTACTATACGCACACGTATGCACTCACCATCCCACCAACAGCAGTGACTGTCTGTGTGCAGGCCGCTGTGCCAAAGCTGCCTGCTCCGAGGGAAGTGCGGTGACCCGCACCTCGGAGAGGGTCTGACGGGTAGAGGTGGAGTGGGATGAAATACAAGAGACCATGAGACGGGGTTGGGAGGACTGGCACAAGGCACCAGCAACTTTATTCTTTACACACAATGCTTTATAGCTAAGCTGTGGCTGGTCATGCTTCATAGATCCCTGCTAGGGCTCGGCCTGTC